AAATATTTTGTATGTAAAATTTGTAGATTAAAGTGGTAATAATATGTATATATTTATCATATAAATATATATACATAATTTTATTTTTTAAAAAGAAAAAGAAAATTAAAAACAAAAAAAAATAAAAAAATACATACAGACCGGGTCAACCGGGTTGACACAGCCGAGTCAATGTCCCGGGTCGACCGGGTTAAGGCCGAGTCGACCGGGTTTTGACCGGGTTTGACCGGGTCCGTTGTTGCCCGGTCTAATTAACCCACCCGGACCGGTTCCGGATCCGGGTCGACCGGGTCCCGGGTCGACCCGCCGGGCCGGTCCGGGTCACAAAACAGTGCTTGATTGCCTAAAAATTAGTTACAAATTGTAACTTCCTCCATCCCAAATGTGGGTTGCGTGATTTGTGGAGGGTACCAAGGAGAAAAAAAAAAAAACGACATCCCTCTTTCATATTAACTTCCACCTTTTTTTCCCGCTTGATTTGCATCTAATTACCAAATAAAAAAGAAAAAGGAAAAAATCTTGTAGATATTATGGAATCAATAACCCACCAAAATCGCACAGATATTATGGGAAAAATCTCGCGATAAATTTTTCTTTCGCGAGTAACGTGAACAACGATCAAATTTGAATCAAAACGAAAAAAAATGGGTATATTAGAGGTATATTTTAGGTATATATCTTAGATATATTTTATGTATATATGAGTTATGCCCGTGAGAAACGATCTGCTCGTGATAAATATCTCAAGTGTATATCTTAAGTATATTTTATGTATATGTTGGTTTTGAAATCAATTTTGAGAAACGATTGAAACTCGAGTGTATATTTAAAGTATATTTTATGTATATGTGGTATCGTGGACTTGAATTACGTGAATCTCGATTGTGTATTTTATGCATATTGTACGTATACTTTATGTATATGTGTGTTGTGCAACTTTGATATATACCCGCAACATATACCCGCAACGTGTAAATTTTCATACCCGAAAATTACAATTTTTTTCATATCGATACATATACCGAAAATATACTATATATACCCCCAACATATACCCGCAACATGTACATAATAGAACTATTTATCAACAAATCAAGCACACTATATATAGAGTTAATTCACGCAGGTTATTTAATAGAGCTCTCAGGTGGTATATATTCGGTTTATGTTAGTATATATTAAGTATATGTGACAAATAGAATTCTGTAATTTACGCAGCCGTATATATTGCGTTTATGTTTCTCATGTGGTATATATTGAATTTATGTTAGTATATATTCAATATATGTGCATAACTTGAATTTTGTAATTCACGCAGCCGGTATATATTGCGTTTATGTTAGTATATATATTCAGTATATGTTGCAATGAAAAAAAAATATTATTACAGATTACTTGTATTCCTTATACAAAAAAAATATATACTATATATATACTCCATATACATACAACATATACCCAAAATGTAAATAGTCCAGACGTAAAAATGTCTAAAAACTGAAAATATACTGTTTATATACTCAACATATACTGATTGGGGGTGTGTTTTTTTTTTTTTAAAAAGAAAAAAACACTCAAAATCCCAGTACCATTCAACATCCAAAAGTATAAATCCTACACAAAGACTGAAAATAATGCCAAAAAAGTAAGAAGAGAAAACAATTTTATACCAGACATTTTAAATGAAATTGTTTATCTAGAGATACAGAAGAACGAATTGGTTGCAGACCTGTTTCCTTTAAACTCAAGCTACCATATTGATTTTAACTTCGTTAATCGTGGTTGATGCTGCAGGAACTTCATCTAAGACCACTTGATCAACAGACATGATTCTTTATCTATGTCTCTCGTCAAATTCCATGGCTGAAAATTCACATGAACCCTATTCCTCCATCTTTGTAGGTTGATCATAGCACTTATTTTACTACCAAATAGATGAGACACAGAAAATTCATCATCTTCAATTTTTGAGGTAAATTACCTCAAAACCCCATCATTAATCGAAAAAAAAAACAAAAAAACTCGATTGTTGAGGTAAATTAACGTGGCGGAAGATGATCGGCGGCCGTTCTCGTCCACGGGGCGACGTTGCTTGAGCCAAACGGAGGCGGAGGCGGAGGCGAAGGCGGATGCGGCAACTCAAGGGGATGGGGCTGGCTTGAGGCGGCGTTTGCCGTATAAAAGAAAAAATATGGAGATGGGGTTTTGGAGAGAGAGAGGAGAGAGGATGTGGGTTGTGGGTTTGTCCCATTTAATTAGCATTTAATTTGCCAAAAGAAAGGGAATAACGGTTATTGTAAATATCAGGTAAAATTGAAAATATTTGATTTTATTAGGCAATTTTATAAATAAAAATATAAGGGATATATAAGTGTAATAAAAATTATAGATGATGGTAAGGAGTGCAAATTCCTCTTATAATTTTAGTTAGTATAGATAGTAGCCCAAAAACGAACACCAATAAAATTAGCATTTCTTACACTAGTGTTGGTACCCGTGCAATGCACGGGGTATAATACACAAAATATTTTTTTACTTAAATAATATAAAATTATTTAAGACAATATGAAATTATAGTTTCCACTATATCCTATTTAGTAATAATATGACATTTATTTATTTCCTATTATTGTTAATATATATATTGTATTTTTTTGACTATTTAATATATAATTTTATTATTTATAAGTTTATAAAAAATTATAAATGTATAAGATCATATGACATTTGTATACAAATTACTTGTATGTACTTATGTCATTTATCATAGTCTTATAATTTTTTCCAACAATTCATAATTTACACATTGCTTGATAATTGACCAACGTTTAGCCCATAATATTTATCTTTTGCCTATAATTATTTTGTGTATTAAATGTTAAAATCTTTGGATAAATAAATTTTAATTTTTAGTAACTTTAATCCTTATGCAACTACAAATTTTTTATGGTTAAATATTTTATATTTATGTTTTCATTTTTTATAATATATATTTTCTTTAATTCATTTTTTCTACCTGTATAATGAGTTACATAATATCTATTTGAATATATAGATATATTACATATTTCCATAATTAGACAGTCTATAATTTAAATTATTATACATTACTTTTTTTAGTAACTTATTTACATTTATACAATAGTATATAAGTAAAAATATGTACTTTTAAAAATTGAATAATTTCTTTATGTACATAGATACTTCTAAGGTGAAATTTATAATTTTTAATTGCACCCGATCATAAATTTTTATTTTTATTAGTATATTATTTAAATTTTAATAGTATTATCATTGTATATGATATATTCAATGAAGATGTATCCTTTTATAGATAAATTGATTACATTTCAGAAACTTTTATTAATATTTTAAATTATTTATTAAGCTAGTATGATTTAAACATAGTTATTCTGATTATTTTATTAAATATAAGTACTTCTGAATAGTGTATAATTAACTAAATTAATTAAAACCTACAACCGTAGATGATAATATATTTAATCAAATCAATTTCTATAATAATTTTTGAATTGTGTCAATAAATTACAATTACATCAATATAAGATATTGTTGAAAATTTATCTAATAAATCTCCTGGCTCAAATTTTCAATTTAAGCCAATTTGTAGATAATGAGTAATAGTCATTGAGTGTATAAAAATTAATTATGTTTTTCATGCATAAGATTTGCTAAAAAATAAATATTAATTAAATGCCAAATATAGACGAAAAAAATTCCCGCTCAAAGTCATGCCAATTATGGCAATAAAGATTGGTCCATTATATAAATATAGATTTATTCTCACTTGTTGTGTGTGCTTAGATGATTAGCGTTCCATACTAATGACTGAGAATGTCAAATACATTAGAACATCAGCAATGCAGTTAATTGTTGAGCGTTTAAACGGCCTCCCCCGCGTTCAATGGATTGAACGCTTGTTTAACGCATTTTTTTTTTATTTTTTTATTTATTTTTATTTTTTGTTTTCAAATCTTATTTTATTCAATGCATTAAAAGCATGTTTTTTTCCTTTTTCTTTTGTTTTGAAATAATTATTTCTTATGTCTTTTTTTTTTTTATATTTTATTTATTTTTTATCTATATCACTCTATTTTTTTTCTTGTGTAATCTTAATTTAAGTTATTTTGATTTTGTAGTGTTCTTTTATTTTCATGCATTTAAAATTTATTATTAAAATTTAAATATTAAATTGTATTTTTTTATTGAGAATAGAATATAAAAATTTATATTGAATGAGTGGATAATGAATCTCATATATGTATTTAAATGAATGTGTAGGAACGTGAGTGTGTGGAGAGAGATTTAGTGAAAAGATTATGTAAAAATGATATGGATGAGAGAGTGTGTTACTTTTTGATTGAATGAATGATATTTGTGTTAAAAGATATGGATGCCATTATAAGAGGTTCCATATTGTTAACTGAAGATGTCAAATAAATATCAGAGGTTTCGAATTTCCTTTACACTTGAATTATTAAATACTTGTTATAATAAAGTTGACACCCAACCCGGTATATTTTTCCTACACTTAAAGGAAGTACTCAAACACTATATTTTTATCTCACTGAAAATTAACACTCACAAAATGTTATTTCTTCTCTTTTTCTCATTCTGCTTGGTGTGTCTACAGCTCTTCCCGTTGCTCTTTATTTATAGTGAAATGAAGCTACATTTTTCAACAAATGACAACCCCCATTGTCAGAAATAACAACTCAGTTCAATAAAAAAATCCTATTCTACTTTAGTCGTTGGAATCTTACAACTAGTTTTAGTTATTTTCAATGTTTCTTTGTGGATGGATTCTGACAATTCTCTCCCTCCAGCCAAAGGAAAATATTCTGCAACTCTTCACATGCAATCCATGCCGATCAACTCGACACAAAGTTGAAGCTTTCCCCCTGTTACAACTTTCGTCATCATGTCAGCAAGATTTTGGTCAATGTGAATCTTTTCTAATTTGAATTGTTGTTCTTCCTCTACTTGACATAGCCAATGATATCTGACATCAATGTGCTTCGTGCGAGAGTGATACATAGCATTTTACTTAAATCCAATGCGCTCTGACTATCACAGTGGATATCGTACCTTTCCTGCTTTATTCCCAATTGTTTAAGAAACCTCTTCAACCAAAGCATTTCTTTTCCTACTTCTGCCATTGGAATATACTCTGGTTCAGTAGTCGACAAGGCAACAGATTTCTGCAATTTATATTGCCGAGATACATGTCCTCTTACAAATGTAAACAGAAACCCTGAAGTAGATTTTCTACTATCCAGGTCACTTGCCATATCCGCATCTGTATAACCTTCAAGACTGGGTTTCCTTTTTCAAAGGTCAAGCATTTATTTGCACTGCCTTTTAGGTACCTCAAGATCCACTTCACAACTTTCCAATGATCCTTCCCAGGATTGGAAAGACACCTACTAACAATTCCAACCGCATGAGCGATATCTGGTCTAGTACAGACCATGGCGTACATCAAACTCCCGACTGCCGAGGAGTATGGAACACCCGCCATAGCTTCTTTCTCTTCTTGATTTGTAGGTCAACTTCGTTTGCTGAGCTTGAAGTGATTGGCTAACAGTGTATTGACCGCCTTAGCCGATTTCATGTTGAATTTCTCCAGAATCCGATTCACATATCGTTCTTGCGATAACCATAACCTATTGGATTTTCGGTTTCGAATGATCAACATGCCCATAATTTTCTTCGCAAGGCACAAATCCATCATTTCAAAGGACTTTGCTAATTTTTTCTTCAAATCACCAATCAGCTTCATATTATGTCCCACTATCAACATATCATCTACATATAACAAAAGGATAATGAATTTATCACCTGGAAATTTCTAAACTAATACACAATGATCTGCATCAGTCTTGGTATATCCATGACGCGCCATGAACGAGTTAATTTTCTTATACAACTGTCTTGGAGCTTGTTTCAGTCCACACAAGCTCTTCTTTAATTTGCAAACCATATGCTCCTTTTCAGTCCTCTCAAATCTTTCTAGTTGCTCCATGTAGATTTCTTCATCTTGGTCTCCATGAAAAAATGCAGTCTTCACATCTAGTTGTTCAAGCTCCAGATCCAAGCTAACCACCAATCCAAGTACTACTCGGATAGAGCTCATCTTTACAACATGAGAGAATATCTCATCAAAATCTATTCCTCGCTTTTGTCCAAATCCTTTCACAACTAAGAGAGCCTTGTACTTCAACAGTTTGTCACCATCTTTCTTAAGCTTGAACACCCATTTATTTTTCAAGGCTTTCCTGCCTTCCGAAAGCTTCACAAGCTCATAAGTTTTATTTTTCATCAGTGAATCCATTTCTTCTTGCATGACTTTTATCCACTGGGATTTATCCTTATGAGTCTTTACTTCTTCAAAGCTTTTTGGCTCCCCTTCTTCAGTTATGGTAATATACGTAGAACTAGGGTATTTTGTAGACGGTTGGATCGCTCGATTTTATCTCCTGAGCTGAGTTGGAGCTTCGAGATCTTCCTGCTCAACACCTTCACCATCACCACCATCTTCTATTGCTGGCTCATCATCAACCTTGAGTTCTCCATCACACTCTTCCCCTGCTGTGGCATCTCTAGGAGGTTTGACAGGTGAAAGATCCACCTTACCACTTGATTCTCTTGTTTCTGGTGAAGCAGAATTAGACATAGTTTCTTGCTCATGGAATACTACATCTCTGCTTCTAATAATTTTTCTGATTTTTTCGGATCCCATAACCTGTAGCCAAATTCTTCATTTCCATAGCCCAGAAACATACAAGAAATGGCTTTATCATCAAGTTTTCATCTCTATTCCTTGCTTATGTGAGCAAAAGTTTTGCATCCAAACACCTTTAAATGAGAGTATTTAACATCATATCCAGACCATACTCTCTCAGGGATATCCAAGCCCAAAGGAACATATGGAGACCGGTTGATCAGATAGCACGCCATTAAAACAGCTTCACCCAGAATGTCTTAGGTAGCTTAGCCATTCTTAACATACACCTCACTTTCTCCATAATGGTTCTATTGATTCTTTCAGCCACACCATTATGTTGTGGGGTTCCAGATATAGTCTTCTCATGCCTGATGCCATGCTCGACACAATAATTCTTGAATTCATGAGATATATACTCCCTCCTATTATCTGAGCGAAGACACTTCAAAGGTTTACCGGCCCGTCTCTCCACTATAGCATGAAACCTTTTGAAATACTGAAAAACTTTGTTCTTCGTTCTCAAGAAGTACACCCACAATTTTCCTGAAGCATCATCAATAAATGTCACGAAGTATGTACTACCATCGAGACTCTCTACTTCCATGGGTCCACATACATAAGAATACACCGTCTCCAACACATTCTCTTTCTACTTCGAAGTTTTTCTGAAAGACACTCTATGATGCTTCCCAAAGAGACAATAATCACAAGAATTTAGTTTTGAATCTGTGGCAAATGGGATGAGGGACTTTCTTGCCAAAATTTGTAATCCTTTTTCACCAATATGAGCCAATCTTTTGTGCCACAAATTTGGCGAACCATCTTCCTCGACTGCATTCAACCCACCCTTGATCAGTTTCACTTGAGTTCTGTACAGTGTTGATCTTACTATACCTCTAGCAGCTAACAATGATCCTTTGGTAAGCTTCTATGTGCTACTACCAAAATTGTTAGTATAGCCTGCTAGATCCAGTGCATGAACAAAGATCAGATTCAGACGTAAGTCAGGTACATGTCGCACATCCTTCAGTGTTATTGTGCACCCAATATCAGTTTGAATGCACATATCACCAACTCCCACAATATTTGCAACGTTGTTGTTGCCCATCTTTACTCTACCAAAGTCTCCTTCTTTGTATAGAGAAAAGAATTCCTTGTGAGAGGTTGCATGGAATGATGCTGCTGAGTCAATGACCCATTTAACACATGAATCTGCAACATGACACTCTTTTTCTTCAACAGAGAGCAACACCACTTCTCCAACCTCTGTTCTTCTAGGCTTTGCAATTTTTTTTATATGCCCTTCTTCATCCCAGTGATAACATTTGAATTTTCTTCTGGGTTGTGATTGCGATTTATCTCTGGATTTGTTATTCCGGCCTCTGCTTTTGCTTCTTCCCCTAGTTTTTGTGATCAGGGCTTGAGAGCTGCTTGCCCCAGAATCTTTTCTTCTTGTTTCTTCATTAATCATACTGTCTTTGACCCATGTCTTTGACTTGGGTCAAAGTGAGTTTTCCTTCAAGAGCAGAGTTGCTCAACGAGACCACCAGAGTCTCCCAGCTATATGGTAAAGAACTCAAAAGTAACAGCGCCTGCAGCTCTTCATCAAGTTTCATCTCCATGGTAACAAGTTGGTTCACCATGTCTTGAAACTCATTCAAGTGTTCTGCAACTGATCTTCCATCCTGGTATTTTAAATTTACATTTATTCAATTTTGTTCCACAGAGTATGGGCTTTCGACTCTGTGGCAACATGATGGAATATGCTGATATCCACCCACTGTCTGATTAAACTGACAACCTTCCCGTGTAATTATTTCCAATCGTCATCCTTTACGTCATCTGGCTTGTTGTCTCCCTTTTCTACAGGATCATATAGATTTTCGTAGAAAAGTATGTCCTCCATTTTTGGCTTACAAATGGAGTAATTTGTTGCTGTGAGCTTCACCATGGTATCCACGTTCTCCTCTTTTTAATTTACACTGGTCGATACGGAGCCCAACTTGAGCTCTGATACCACTTGTTGGGCTCAGATGCGCAAATACGGAAGATATAAATTAAGATATCAAGGTAAAATGGTGAACAATAATCCCAATCCCAGCAACTCAAGAATGACAAAAAAAAATCTCTTGCAATAAAACATGAATAATTCTTTTCTGATGTAGAAGATCAGATTAAACTGCGACCACATAGCATACTAAGAATATCCCAAATATAGGGTAAATAATTTTTTCCAACCTGTACTATACGTGCTTTTAGGATTTTCAACCTAAAGTATTTTTTGTTGTAAAATGCAACCTGAACTACATATATACAATTATTTGCACGCTCGAATACTTTTTGACTGTCCGATCGTGTGCAAAAAAGGACACGTGTATGGTTAAGATGTGGTCGAGCGTGCAAATAGTGACTGTATATGTAGTTCAGGTTGCATTTTACAAAAAAAATACTTTAGGTTGAAGATCCCAAAAACACGTGTAGTATAGGTTGGACAAAATTGTTTACCCCCAAATATATAAATATGCAAGAACTACGACACCAAGATTTAACGTGGAAAAAACCTCCAATGTAGAGGGAAAAACTACGGGACAACCTCCGAAAACTTCCACTATATTTTCAAGATAATTATCTTTTCACACTCCCCTACACTACATATGTAAAATATAGCGACCCAGTGAAACCTCACTCCTAAACAAGGAATAATTGAGTTGATACCCAACCCGGTGTATTTTTTCTACACTCACAGGATTTACTCAAACACTATATTTTTATCTCACTGAAAAATAACACTCACAAGATGTTATTTCTTCTTTTTTTTTCTCCTTCTGCTTGGTGTGTCTTAAGCTCTTCCCGTTGCTCTCTATTTATAGTAAAATGAAGCTACATTTTTCAATAAATGACAACCCACATTCTCAGAAATAACAACTCATTTCAATAAAAAAAATCCTATTCTACTTTAGTTGTTAGAATCTTACAACTAGTTTTAGTTGTTTTCAATGTTTGTTTGTGGCTGGATTCAGACAGAGCAGGCCATGAGCTCAGCTTGGCACAAATTCATCAATGTGAAGAATAACTATTTTATTTTAAATATCAACACTTCATAATTGTCAATCCAAATACAGAAAGAGCTCCATATTTTTGTTCCATACATATTTGATTCAAATGTGATCTAGATTTAAAAGTTTAAGAAGCCATCTTGATTGCAGGGTTAATATACTGGTGCACCAAACACAAACAAAATATTTGAGTACTAAAAGATGCACAAATAGGAAAAAGGACCTCATTGGGAAAATGAAGAAACACAATACATAGTACATAGAACATCATACATTAATTTCTATTTCCTTTCCATGAAGGCTGTATATGTAAATACACACTACATACACCTCAGGCACCTGCTTTCGACAATTGTGAACTAAAACATCAAAGTCGCTAACAGTTCATTCAGCCGTAGCCCCAACAAGGCTCACATAGATTTCAGTATGGACATTAAGTGATTACCATACTCATGTTCGAAAATGATTACACTGCCTCATTCAATCATTCTTCTTATTATAATGGTTTTGGATTGAAAAAACTTTCTCTCATATTGCTAGCAAACACTCCCTTAATAGTATACTTGAGTCACATCCTTTTTCTTGACTTCCTTTTCTCAATCAAAGATTCTTTACCTAATAGAAATACAACACTCCCTTAATAGTATTAATTTCTATGAGTAGGCTAAAGCTAAATTAAACCTCCACAATTGTATTTGTAATAAAAAAAGAATGAACGAAAGAGATGCTAACAAACCT